CCGCCCCACCCCCGCGCCGGCTCTCACCTCCTGCGCCCGCGCTCGGCTCGGACCCGCGCTCCGCGAACCGCGAACGTGGCCAGGGAGCCGAGACCCCGCCCGAGCGGCTCGGGTTACCGCCCGGCCCCTCCCCGCCTCGCTCACCAGGCCTCGGGAGCCGCGAAGCCACCTCTAAGTCCACTCGGGAGGGAAACTGAGGCCCAGGGAAGTGGGGACCTGCCTGAGCCAGAGAGCGGGTCGGTGGAGGGGCGGTGTCGAACCGCAGCCCCACCTCAAACTGTCCCTCGGCCTCCCACCGCAGGAGAATTCGAAGAATGCTGGAGAATTTGGAATCCTCTTTCCCCTCCCTGGCCCTCTTGTCTCGTGGAACCAAACCCAGCCATCTTTTGGCCCCAGAACCTCTTAAGAGCGAGCTCCTAGGCAGCCTGCAAAGCCCTGAGGAGCTACCCAGCCAAGCCCCTCCCTGCCTCTGCAGCTTATCTGCCCCAGCAGGCCTGCAGCCTACTCGTGGCCCCAGGCCCTGCCGGAGTTGGTCCTTGGAGTCACGTAGGCCTGTGTAGATGCGGATGCAGGAGGCTGGGGGATCCACAGGCCCTGGAAACTCATGGGCTCACACATCTGCCTGTAAGCTTGTGAGTTCCCGCCTCAGTCTTTGGTTCTGCAGTTCCTGCAGCCTGCACCCTCTGCGCGCTCACCCCGCCCTAGGCCTAGCCTCAGAGCCCCTCGCCCCTCGTCCACCTCACTTCTGAGGTCGCCTTCCTGACTACCAGAGTAGCCCACCCTGAAGTTCCTTTCCTTTTCCTTTCCTCTTGGTGCTGGAAGGGGAATCCAGGGCCTGCTCAGCAGGGCTGTCCCACCGGGCTGCCCTACCCCAGCCCTGCCGGGTTTTCTGTCCCTCTTCTGGGTTGTGTTCTCACCAGGGCACCGGCCACAGCAGTAAACTTCTCTCCTCTCGTGCTTCTGTTCCTGGCATCTCTCTTATTAAATTTTACTCCATTAGGAGCCTAAACTATAATAAATGACATAAACTATAATACGTTGGGAGTTGTGGGAGTGGGAAGGTTGTTTTTGTTTGTGTTTTGGTGTTTTTGAGACAAGAGCAGGGCAGCCTCAGAATGGTGATCCTCCTGCCTCAGCCTCCCAGAATTCTGGGATTGCAGGCAGTTTCAATTTTAAGTAGAATTGTCAGCAGGGAAATCCGGTATGAGGAACCAGTCAAACTCCTCTGTCCTTTCTGCCTTTTAATGAAGGAATTCAGTCAAGATAAACAGGCAGCTGTGCAGAAATGTAGGTAGAGTTTATTGGAAAGCAGATACAGAGAGACTTGTGCCTTCAAACAAGAAAGTGGACAGTGTACCGAGGGAGGATTTGGCATCTTTTTACATGGAGAAAAATCACTTCTGGGGCTCAGGGAACTACCATGATCATCGTTTTAGTTACACCGTCTACGCTGTAGGCTCTTCGACATTTTTCTTAGGGCTTGCTTCGAAATGGCGAGATCTCAAAATGTCTTCCTTGTTCTTTTCAGGCGGTCAGTGTTCCCTCAGGGGCCTTAATCATATAAGAAACTTCCAAGGGCCAGGGATTTAGCTCAGCGGCACAGTGCCTGCCTGGCAAGCACAAGGTCCTGTGTTTGATTCCTGGTACCAAAACAAACAAACAAAAAAGAAACTTCCAAAAGAAATGTCTGAAAGAAAAACTTCTAATCTGCCTTTGGTCCAGATCCAGTGGGAGGGTCTCCAAGGAAGGTGCCCCTTTCGGCTGTCAGTGGACCACCGCCAGGGCACCTGGACACCCAGGAGGCCTTGTTTTGGAAATAGACAGCCAGGTGGCCAGGTATTAGGGTAATGTGTGTGGTGTGGAACCTTAAAATGCCACTGTTGTCTATGGGGTGCTCTGAGACCTAATAAATGGCTATAAATTTTTCTATACTGTTGTCTTTGTTTCTTCATTTAACACAACTGGCACAATTGCTATTTTGTATCCCCTTGTCCTTTGGGGCTGCTGATGTCTAAACTGCCTGCACAACTGAATGGTCGGGGTAGACTCACTGAGAATATACCATTATTTGACAAAAATGTGAGAGGATATTTGATTGACTTTTTTGTTTGTTTGTTTGTTTGTTTTTGCCTTTTGAGCGAGAGTCTCACTATGCAGTTCAGGCTGGCCTTGAGCTCACTTTGTAGCCCAGGCTGATCTCGAACTCGTAATGATCCTCCTGCCTCAGCCTCCCAAGTGCTGGGATTACAGGCGTGCACCACCACGCCGGGTTTGAGAGGATATTTGAAAGAAATAGCTGGCAGAAGAGCATTGCAAGCAGAGGAAATAGTTGGTACAAAGGCCCTGGGGCCTGTTGTGTTTGAGGAAATGAAGGCAGCCAACCTAGGTAGGAGCTGGTGAGGACAGACCAGCAGAGATCTGGCATCAGAAGGTGTCAGCTGGGGCTTTGTCAAGCAATGAGGGCTTTCATTGGTGTTAGAGGGAAATAATTCCCAACCTGTTAGATGCCTGAGTTCCTATCTCACGATACCAGTGCCAACGCATCGAGGACAGAGGAGGAGAACAGTGGGAAAGTTTTGTTGAGAGAGAGGAGGGTCCCGGAAGTGGGCTGCTGTGAGGCTCTTTGTCCAGGGGGTTTTACACAGTGAAATCCCACCGCAGGTGACCCGGGGTCGGACTGTAATCAGTGTGTGGATTACAAGCACAGGCCCGTGGCTGATACTGACCCAGTAGGAAAACAGGTACGAGCAAGGCGTAAAGCGCTGAGAAGAACAAAGGCGTTTCTGAAAGGGCAGGAGCCAGGGTAGGGTGCTCCGGGTGTCTGTGACATTGTCCAGGCTTGCCGGGCCGGGGGCGCTGGTCACAGCCCAGCTCTGAGCTGCTGTCTGTCTCGGGGAGCCTTGCCCGCCAGCCTGTCCCCATCTTGGGGCCTCGTTTCTGTGCGCTCAGCCCTGGGCCCCGGCCTGCTCTGCCTCACCGCCGCTCTCGCTCGATCTTGGGTCTGGGGCTTTTCTAACTGCCCACCATCTGCAATACCACGACAGGGGCTGTCACAGGGGTTTGAGCCCGCGGTGGCCCCAGCCGGGCTTCCCAGGATGACTCGGGCTGCTGGGGAAAAAGTGTAAGTGGAGGCAGGAGACAGGGAAGGGGCTGCAGCAGTCATGCGGGCAGGAGCTGGGACTGCAGCCAGGGCAAGATGCGCCCGCTCCGGCGGATTTTCCAGGTTTTGGCAAATCCTGGTGGAGAGGCCGCGATTTGCGGAGGAATTGAACGTGCGAAGGGAGGAGGGAGGAGGCGGGAGGGTTCTGAGCTTTGGACTTGGGTCCAGCCGGTGCCTGTTTCCCCCGCCTTCGTGTGTGTGTGTGTGTGTGTGTGTGTGTGTGTGTGTGTGTGTGTGTGTGTGTGTGTGTCTGCTAGGAACTGCACGCGGGGCCTTCGCGCCGGGCTAGACCGCCCATCTCTTCGCGAGGCCGGCTCTCGCTAAGTGGCTGTACTGCCCAGGCTGGGTGGAACTGAGTCCCTCGGCTGGCTACCGGCTACTCTTCCTGCGCGCCGTGCCGGGCCGCGCTTCAGGGCATTCTCTCACGCCTGCCGCCTTCACAGCACAGCCGCCGACTGCGCCTCTGGGCAGTGCCGCGCCCTCCTGGGTCGCGCAGGCGCGAAAAGCACCGCCCGGAGCCGCTCATGGACCCAGACCCCAACTAAACCCGCTCGACTCTCGGCAGCCGCCGGAGCGCCCCGCGGAGGGGGAGGGGGCGTGGCCTTGGCGTTGGAAGGGCGGGGCGTTGAGAGGCTCCGGCCCATAAAGAGCGGGGCGCAGCGTTGCTAGGGATTCTGATAGGTTGCGCCGGAAGGCTTGTCACCTCCAGGCCCCGCCCCACTGGAAAGAAAGGGGCGAATCAGGTGACGCGAGCCCCAGAGGCCCTGGAGGCAGAAGCCGGTGGGCCGCATTCTGAGCGCATCGTTGGGTAGGTGCGGAGGCGCCTCGGCGATTTCGGTGCTGGGACCCTGGGCCTGACGTCCTTGGGGCGCGAAGGTAGGAACCCGGATCTAGATGGGAATCGGGACCCCAGTTCGGCGCCAACGTCTCTTCCTGGCCGCCCTGGAGCCAGCCGCTGCCTCTTTCTGGCCTTCACTGGCAGCGGACGGGCGCTTGCCCCGGGCCTCCCCACCGCGGAGGGTGTGAGATCTAACGTTCGAGACGCCTTGCCCGGTACTTCTAAAGGAAAAGCCCAGGCTTGAGGAAGTGACGGCTGGGGCTGGCGCGGAGCAGTGATGGGGGTCGGGAGTGGGATCCACGCCCGGGTCAGGGCGGCAGGGGAGCCAGGCAGCGGCGACCCCAGTGTTTTCTAACGTTCCTTATCTTCCAGGATCCACACATAAAGGTGCTAAGAGCAGAGCTGACTTGGCCAGGTCCTGAGGCGCTGAGTCCAAAGCAATGCTTCTGAAAATAGGTAGCTACACCTGCACTGTGGTGTGCTGTGGGGGGACCGAGGAGGACGTTCCAGCTCTTTGGTGTGCGTCCTTGTTCCCTGGTGTGGGTGATGTGGGAGTCGTCTTCCTCTTTCTCCTGGAGCTAGTCCCGAGAAGTGAACACTCCACCCGGAAATCGGCTTCCCACCCAAGAATCTGTTCCCCTCCAAAGAGGCTGCTTCCTTTTTCACTTGGTCTCCCCCAGATGCACAGGGCCCTAGCTTATGTGATACCAGCATGTGCTGATTCCAGCCCTCTAACTTAGGCGGAAGGAAACTGTAGCCCCCGAGGGACAGGGCTCAGGAGGGGAGCAGGCTGGGTAGAGGTCTGCCCCGGCTGACCTCCTAAGTCCTTCTGAGGCCTCCCTCGGGTCTGCGGTGGCAGCAGAGGGTCCTAGACTGAGGCTTATCACACCTGGCACCACCACACAGTGAACCTTCAAGTTCTGCGTATGATGTGGGGAGCTGGTTGGGTGAATGGGATGGAAAGGACTAAGTACTTCCCCTTGCTAATTTCCACCCAGCAAGTGAGGAGTCAGACCTTGCTGGGATATTCCCCCCCACCACTGCACCCACTAGGCAGCTGCTACAGGAAGAGCCAGTTCCATGCTAACTCCAGGAGTCTGGTTCTCCCAATGGACAGGCAGCTTCTTCTGCACGGCTGAGCAGCACGTGAACGGTGGGATAAGGGCTGTGGCTGTAGGAGCTGTTGGTCACCCTCTTGTCTCATTTCCACCCCAGTGCTCTTGCTGGCCCTGGTGGCCCAGGTGCTGGTGCTGGACAATGGGCTCCTGCAGACGCCCCCCATGGGCTGGCTGTCCTGGGAACGCTTCCGCTGTAACACAGACTGCGACGAGGACCCAAAAAACTGCATCAGGTAAGTAAGGGCCACACCCACTGAACAAGCCTTGCCCGGGGCCTGCAGAGTAGAGACAGGGAGAGAGGGTTCAGCTGGCAGAGAGGCCCAGATCAGGCACAAGTGACATCAGGGACATCTGATACCTAGCCCTGTGACCCGCCTGGGGCCTCTGAGGGGCAGGGACCTCGTGGAGTACCTGGCCTCCAAAATAACTGGAAGAAGACAATGTAAAAGGGCAGCAGGCCCCCCATGCTTTCCTTTACTGGGTGCTGCCCCTTGGCCTGGGCCCAGACCACACGCTTTACCCCATCTTGCTTGTGGCTCATCACACATCCTTTTTTTTTTTTTTTTTTTTTTTTGTCTTTTTGAGACAGGGTCTCGCTATGCAGTTCAGGCTGGCCTTGAGCTCACTTTGTAGCCCAGGCTGGTCTCAAACTGGCAAGATCCTCCTGCCTCAGCCTCCTGAGTGCTGAGATTACAGGTGTGTGCCACCATGCCCAGCTCATCACGCATCTTTGCAGGATCATTTACCCTGTTAGCTGGCTTCATCCTGGGCTGCCAGTAGGACTGTTGTTTTTATGGCCTGGATTCACACTCAGAGCTAAGGAAAGGGTCAGGGGGAGAGCCAGGCTAGGCCAGTGAGTGGCCTCACCTTCTGCCCCTTGCTAGTGAGCGCCTCTTCATGGAGATGGCTGACCGGCTCGCAAAGGATGGATGGCGGGACCTAGGCTACGTCTACCTCAATATCGATGACTGCTGGATTGGTGGGCGCGATGCCAAAGGCCTACTGGTGCCTGATTCCAAGCGCTTCCCTCACGGCATCGCCTTCCTGGCTGACTATGTGAGCCCCAGCCTGGCCCTGCCCCTTGGCCTGAGGGCCACACCCCTCCCTCCCTCCCACCCTGTTTGGGGTGCATTTACACAGTCCCTACTTGGCAACGCCCCCACCCAGGAAACTGACAAATGAACACCTCCTTTTCGCCCAACATAGTAAGAGCCAGAAAGGGCATCCTAGCCTGGATGATTTCCTGGAGCAGGTAGTTCTTGAGCTGACCCCAAAGAGATGTCCTTTGAGGGTGTCCCGGAGGCTTCTAGGCATAAAGCGGCCAGCAAAGCAGTGTGTGCTGGAGGGAGGGCGGGCCAGAGGCACGCAGGCAGTCGGAAAGCTGGGACCTCTCTTTGATCAGTGGGCGCTCTGAAGGTTTTAGTGTGTCTTGGTCAGATATACCTGAGTGGCAGCTGCCTGAGGGTTCAACCCGAGCTCACTGTCCCTGACCCCCCCACAGGCTCACTCCCTGGGTCTGAAGCTGGGCATCTATGAGGACATGGGCAACTTAACCTGCATGGGTTACCCAGGCACCACACTAGACAAGGTGGAACAGGACGCCCAAACCTTCGCCGAGTGGAAGGTGGACATGCTGAAGCTGGATGGCTGCTTCTCGACCCGGATGGATCGGGCCAAAGGCGAGTTCCACAGCTGGCTGGTGCTGTCAGGGTTGCCACAGGAGCTTGGTCTGTGTGGGGCGCGGTGGTGGCTTTCATAGTCCCCCTCACCCAGGAGCAGAAGGGATCACAGTTCCCAGTCCCTGAGACGGGCTGGCACCACAGCCCCCTGAGGAAGTTTTGAGGCTCGGGGTATAGGGGATGCATTTCCTCTTAGAAGCCTCAGTTTCTCATACGTGGAGGGACAAGGTTTGAGCTGAAGCCCCCCCAATGGGGGTTGGGCTTTCTCCAGGCTACCCCATGATGGCTACTGCACTGAATGCCACGGGCCGCCCCATCGCCTACTCCTGCAGCTGGCCAGCCTACGAAGGAGGCCTCCCCCCCATGGTAAGCTGTTCTGTGTGTCCATCTGCCAGGGTGCTCCCCTGCCCCGGCCTCTTCAGCCTCTGGGTGCCAGGCTCAGGACCTGGCTGCCAGAGCCAGGGCTGCTCTCACGGAGGTTGTCCACGTGCTGATTTTTAGGTATCTAGAGCAAGGGTCACAGTAACTAAAAGGGCCTCAGCCAGCCCAAGGTCTGGAAGAAGAGGGGGCCCCTGGCTGGGCCGAAGGGGTTGCCATCTAAGGCAGTGAGCCATATGTGCTGGAGATGCAGAAGGGAGATGAGGTCCAGCAGCTCGACAGAGCACCCAGCCCCAGCACACCTGACCCTAGGATGGGTGGACTCACACCTCCACACCTGAGGGCTGCGGCTGACAGGTGGAGGACTCAGAGAGGAAGTGCTGTGTGTGTGTGTGTGTGTGTGTGTGTGTGTGTATACATGTGCATGCACTCGGGAAAGATTGTGGGTGCCCAGCCTGGGCCCACACCCTGGGTTTGGCCCCCACAGGTATGAGAGGGCAGGGGAGACTGTATGTATGGAGGAGAGTCCTGGGCAGCCCCCTAGCAGGGCTGCCCTCACAGCGGGCTTCCTGGTCCTGAGCAGGCTTGGGGACCTGTACTCTTCCCCCTTCCTACCCTCTGTCTCCTGCGGGGCCTCCCCAGCCCCTAGTGGCCCCAGGCAGCGGGGTGTGACACTGGTGTGGACTCAGCCTTCCCTGATGTCCAGGTGAACTACAGTCTGCTGGCGGAAACCTGCAACCTCTGGCGCAACTATGACGACATCCAGGACTCCTGGAAGGACGTGCTGTCTATCCTGGACTGGTTTGTGCTCCACCAGGACATTCTGCAGCCAGTGGCTGGCCCTGGGCACTGGAATGACCCAGACATGGTAATCAGCACGGAAGGGGGACGTCCCCAGGCCCAGGCTTGACAGCCCTGTCCCGCGCTGCCCTGTGTTCACTTCCTTCCCCGATATTCATTGCCAGGTGTGAGACCAGCATCTGAACTGTGTCCCTTATGGGCTGGGGATGTAGCTCAGTGGCATAAGTGCCTGCCTGGCAAGCGCAAGGTCCTAAGTTCAATTCCTGGTACCAAAAAAAAAAAAAATTTGAACTATGTCCTTAGATGGGGCGCAGCAGGGTGTGTGAGTCTGGCCTTAGAGCCGCGCTTACAGTGTGGATCCCGGGCTCCGCCCCCCTGCGTGTCAGAATGTTCAGAGGAAGCCCCCCCCCCCAGAGTGCCCATTGTTCAGCACCCCCAGCCCTTTCTGATGTTTCTTAAAGCCGGAGAGCGCGGTCTGTAGAACCAGCCCTCTCCTGAGACAAGATCACACCTGTTCACGTTGTTTTGCCCTTCCCGGCACCTGGCTGTCCTCTTCGTGTCTGCCTCTGGCTCCCCCTTTCAGTGCCCTGTACCCCACCATCCTACAAAGCCTGCGCAGTTGTACCTGGCCCTCCACAGGCACAACTGGCCCTCAGTCCCGCTTCTAGCCCTTCCATCCTACATCGGTCATAGCGCTAGTGACTTTTATGACAGTTTCATGGATATCTAGTGAGCAGGCATTCACCAGCGAAGGTGATTCCCGTATTGTAAATACAAAAGCAAGTGGTGGGGTGGGGGGAGCCGGCCTGGAGGAGCAGAACCTGCCTGCTTCGGGGCTGTAGCTCCAACGCTGCCACTTGTCCTAGGCAAGTTACTATTCGTGTGTGTGTGTGTGTGTGTGTGTGTGTGTGTGTGTGTGTGTGGTCATTTGGGAAATGAGAACAGTAAGAAGAGCTACTTTACATAGGGCCATTTGGAAGGTTAAATGATGTCACAGTGCCTGGGGGAGTGTCTGACGCCCCCAAGTGCTTAGTTAAGTTGCTGTCACCTAGTGCAGTACCACGTCACATGAGCAGTAACTCTTTGCGTCCTGACTGCCTCAGTTGGTTGCACTGGGGTCAGAGACCCCTTGGTCCAGTTGGCTATGGCTGGGGCAGGTGGTGGCTAGCAGAGGGACTCTGTTCAGGCCTGGTTTCCTACCACTGCCACCGTGGGTATATTTCTTGACTTCTGCCCATTTATAAAACTTTGGCAACAAGACCCCCTCTGATTATCTGAATAACGTGCAGTGCTGCCAGGTTATCACCGCATGCTCTTGATGGGAGACAGCTGTTGCGTGTATGGAAGATGACGCACTTGCGCCCTCACGTGGCTGTCTTTCCCCAGCCCCTGTCTGCTCCTGCGGTGGCCCCCGTCCCCACCTCCCTGTGGAGGGCAGAGCTGACCTTCCTCTCCTCTGTCCTCAGCTGATCATTGGGAACTTTGGTCTCAGCTTTGAGCAAGCCCGGGCCCAGATGGCCCTGTGGACAGTGCTGGCAGCACCTCTCTTCATGTCCACAGACCTGCGTACCATCTCCGCCCAGGACGTGGAGATTCTGCAGAATCCGCTCATGATCAAAATCAACCAGGATCCCTTGGGCATCCAGGGACGCAGGATTCTTCAGGTACTGGGATGTTGGGGAAAGGAGGGTGGGATGAGGAGCTGGGCTCCCTGGAGGACGAGGCTGCCAACCTGAGTGCCACATGGGGCTGGGTCTCAGAGGTCCCTTCCTGGTTGTATGCAGCCGAGGACTCTGCTGGGACTCTGCTGGATGTAAGCCGGGTCACAGCAGGACAGCTGGTGGGCATCAGGATGGGGACACGCAGGTGATGTCCCTCAGAGAATGAAGGCTTCCCTCTGGGATTTAAGGGATTGTTTCAGTCAAAGACCGTCCTGCTAGTGTCTATTTATTGAGCACCTACTGTGCGCTGGGCAGTCTAGACACATTTTCTCAGCAAAGTAGATATTGTTTCCCTGGGGGTTCCAAATGTGGAGAGGGAAACTTCCAAAATTAAGCAGCTTTCCCCAAGCCTACACAACGCATACAAACAACCTTCTGTAGGATGGGGTGTTCCCTCAGGGCCAGCTCTGCTGTTACCCCCTCCCCCAAGAGCAGCCCGCTCCAGCCCAGCACAGCAGCTGTCTTGGGCAGCATGCCCGCGCTGTTTCTGCGTCTGTCCCTCCCATGCTCCTAGGAGACGCCGCCCGGGGCCTCATGCAGCATTTGCCTCTGTGTCCTAGCGTGGGGCCTGGCACGGGGGCGCTGTGAGTGTTTGCTGAGTCGGAAGGAAAACGGTTAGCTAAGCTAGGGTGCTGTAGGACTGTGCCATCGTCCCCAAGCCTACGTGTGACATAGAGCTGGGGAAAGGGGCGGCGCACATCTCAAAGGCAGCCTAGAAAGGGACTCCAGCCAGGAGCCATCTTTTGCACAGGAAAAATCCCAAATTGAAGTGTTCAAGCGACCCCTGTCTGATGAGGCCAGCGCCCTGGTGTTCTTCAGTCGCAGGACAGACATGCCTTTCCGCTACCGCTCGACCCTGGGCCGGCTGCGGTTCCCCAGCTCCAGAGTGTATGAGGTGAGTGCCCGGCTGCTGCGGCCCAGGCCCAGCCTCCGGCTCCGTTTCCCTGCCAGGCGTTGCTGGGGGTGGTTCTCATGCCCACAGGGCTCCCCTAGGCCTGCGCAGGCGCTGAGGGTCTTTCTCCACACCAGAGTCTCCAGAGTCTCTGATGCTGTCATGTTTTGGCAGACAGAATCACTTTGCACGTGTCATCTCTTTTCCTTGAAGAAGGGTACACAATGGTGTAGAAGTAACATAATCTACAATGACAGAATAGTTTTGAAATCATGGCTAACGACTTTAACATTTTAATACATTTGTCAACACTTTGAAATGTTCTTTTTAACATGAAAAACACAATTTAAATAGTACTAAATTTGTAAATGTAGGGTCTAGCTTGCTACAAATTTCATAATCATGATAATCATCATCTGGTAATCAGTACTGTAACGAATATATTAAGTTCAGCTTCTACATGGACAAAATACTTCAAAAGAAAATACTGCATTACTTTGAAAGAGTTCATTGTGTGTTCTTCTCCAAGGAAAAAAGACGACATGTGCAAAGTTAGTTTGAACTTCTAGTAACTCTGTCTGCCAATAGACAGCGTCAGGAACTGCATAGCAGGTTTTGGGCCAACACAAAGGAATCAATTAAGACTGAATAGTTTAGTCATAAACAGTTCCAAAAAACAGAGACATTTAGTGCTCTAAATTCATTGCTCTGCATTGCAGAACGCAGCCGCTGTGTACAAGGGAGGTCCCTTGTGTCCTCGGCCTGCTCGCTGGCAGCCCTCACTAGCATGGTCCTCGTGGTTTTCCACAGGCTGGGGCTTTCTCTGCTGCCTATGCTTGGACATCTGTCAGCTTCGCTGTGGATGAGCGAGGGGAGATTGGGGCTCCCGCGCCTGTGGGGCGGACTGGAGTCCCGGCGCGGGCAGGCCCAAGTCCCGGCTTCTCCATCCTCTGAGGGATGTGCTCGTGCTGATAGTGCTGATGTCCCTTCCCCACTGCAGGCCCAAGACGTCTTCTCGGGGCAGATCATCACGGGCCTCCGGGACAAAACCAACTTCACAGTGATTGTCAACCCGTCTGGGGTGGTGATGTGGTACCTGTATCCCATCAAGAGCCTGGCGATATCCAAGTGGAAGTCCCAGGACTGAGGAGCCAAGGCGGATGACAGGCTGTGGCGGCCCTGCTGAGCCCGCACCGTGGAGCCCTGGCATGCCGGGGCCAGTGAGCAGGCCCCTCTCCTCCCCAGGCCTGCTCGGCCGCCTGACCGCATCATTCCCAGAGTGCAATTGCAGGGCCAGACGCCATGCTCGCCCAAGTGTGAGCCCTCTTGGAAACCTCTCGGGGAATTTCCTGTAGCATTGTGGGCCTCTACCTCATCTCCACGGCCTCACAGATGTTGCTGAACAACTCGACGAGCCTTCTGGGCCCCCACCAGCAGGGGCACTGATGCCTTTCAGGACTCGGGCCGCTGGCCCTGTTGTTGATTCTGAACCACGATTAGGAATTTTTCTAGCTAGAGGTAGAGATACGACCTCTTGTCAAACTCATGAACTATGTGATTGGCTGATAGCACCTGGAGTTTGGGTCACAAGGGAGACCTTGAGTCCCTTACATCACCAATAAAGCTGTTCTTTAGATGCGTAGTTATCAATGAACCTGGGGGCGTGCGCACCTTCAGTGAGGGACTCTGGGTGACACTGCACAGGATGCTGGTTTCAAATCTCTGTCTCTCTCTCTCTCTCTCTTTTTTTTTTTTGGTTTCAAATCTCACCTCCTGTGGAAGATGTGTAACATCTGGTCCCATATTTCCGAGAGTGACCTGCAGGTTGTACTTCCTAGAAACGCTGGGTGTGTTCCACCTGACGCCTGCGTGGGTGGTAGTGAGCGTGCCCGTGTTCCTAGGCCCTGCAGCTTGCACTCTGCCAAGCACCCCCTGGCCCCCGCACCCCAGCCTGCTCCCCTCTTGTAACCTCACCCCATACTCCACATGTCTCCCTTTGATAGTCCCAGAATGGCTGCAGAAGACTGGGGCTTGAACCTTCACACTGAGCTACATCCCCAGCGCTGTTATAGTTCTTATTTTGAGACGGTCTCGCTGAGTTGCCCGGGCCGGGCTTATACTTGCCATCTGCCAGGACTGGCGGGATCTTCACTGCCTTCTTCTGATTGCTGTTCCCAAGTCCTCCTCTTTGAGCTCAGGCCTCAGGACACCTGTCTTCTTGGACCTCTTTTTCCCACTGGAAAAGCTGGTGGACCTCAAATGTGAGTACACCAGGGCCCCAGGCCTTGCGCTGTGCTGCCCTGTGAGACCTCTTCTGGATCGATCTCTCCTGTCTCTTGGTGTTTTGAGATCTTCATTTCTGGAGTGTGCTATGAAGAACTCACAAGTGCACACTTCATAATGCCATGTAAGACTCCTGGAGCTCTGGTGATCAAGTCACCAGACAGAGTCCCTTTCCCTGGTTGGTGTCTCGAGGTTGTTGAGTCATTCAGGAGAACAGAGCCCACCCCATCTCAGTCCCTGAAGGGCTGAGACTGCATAGCTGTAGCCTTGGGTCTTGCTGGAAGTTCTGTGCAAGCCAAATGGAATGGAACGGTGTCGGGCCGGCACACCTCTTCCCTTGCCAGCTCTAGGAAGAAAGCTGGATGTAGAGGGATGTGGAGGAGTATGGAGAGCAGACACCCTGGACTTGGGAGCCAGGGCCAGGTAAGGGCTTGATTTGATTATCATTTCCCAGCTGGACGTGGTGGTGGCGCATGCCCGTAATCCCAGCACTCAGGAGGCTGAGGCAGGAGGATTGCTGTAGGTTCGAGGCAAGCCTGGGCTACAAAGTGAGTTCAAGGCCAGCCTGAATTGCATAGTGAAACTCTGTCTCAAAAAGACAAAAAACCAAAACAGACAGTCATTTCCCTGACCTTTCGGATCCTCAGGTGGTTCCCCGGTTACCCTCTGCCTGCTGTGTGATTCGTCCTTTTGTCCTGGGAATGCCTGCTGGAGTCCACATCTTCCCCCTTCACTCTCCATACACACTACCTTCCGGCTTTCCTCTCCTCTACCCCAGACCAGTGAGAAGCTCAGTTACTTTTTCCCAGGTTATGGCGGCCTTGTTTGAATCCAAAGATAACCCTCTATTTTTTAAAAAAATTAATTGTAGAAATTTCCAAGCACAAAATAAAGTCGTACAATGAACCTCCATGTAACTAACCATCAAAAAGCTTCAGTAATGATCAATGGCTATATTACTGTATCTCTCCATACATACTTTCCTGGTGTGTCAGCTGATACTTAAAAGCAAATATGAGAAACCCTAAAATGTTGGTATGTATTTCTAACAGCATCTTTCAAAATGACTTTAATATAATTTTTCTATCAAAAAGTTTTTAAATAACAGCCAATCTGTTTTCAGCTTTGTCAGTTGTCACAAAAATATCTTTATAGTTTGAATCAAGTTCCAAAGCAAGGGGTCGCAAAAATGGTCTAATCAGAAGCATTGACAGTTTGCTTCCTCCATGAAAGCAATGAAAAAAATCTGCCATGTACTATCAGAAGGAACTTTCACAGAATTCTGGAAATTAAATACTTCCGGCAATCCAGAGAGTGTTCACTTGGGAAAAAAAGTTGTTTCATTAAGATAACAAAGCTGGGTTGGGTATGGTGGTGCAGGCCTGTAATTCCAGCTCTCAGAGGCTGATGCAGGAGGATCCCTGTGAGTTCAGGGCCAGCCAGGGCTACACAGTGAGACCCTGTCTCATAAAAACAAAAAATTAAAAATTAAAAAACAACAAAGCTGGGTATGGTGGCACATGTAATCCCTGTAGGAGGCTAAAGTAGGAGGATCCGAAGTTTGAGCCTTACCTGAGCCGGTTAGCAAGACTGACTCAAAATAAAAACAAAAACGGGCTTGGGATATAGCTCATGAAGAAGGTCCTGGATTCAACCCTCAGTACCAAACAAACAAGAAAACTCTGCGGCATTTTAACTTTCCTTAATACCGGATTGTAATGGTTATTTTAAACATGTTCAAAGAGCTAAAGAAAAACATGTCTAAGGGATAAAAACAAAGTCTTAACAAGTAACACCAAGCTAGGTGAAGTGGTACAACCTTATAATCCCAGCTTCTTGGGAGGCTGATGCAAGGAAATTGCAAGTTCCAAGACCAGCCTAGGCAATTTAGCAAGACCTTATCTCAAAAAAGTCAAAGGTCTGGGGATGTCTCTCAGTCTCAGAGTACGCCTGGGTTCAAGGTCCAGTTCCAAAAAATAGATAGTAACAAAGGAGAAATAGAATTATACAAAGGAACCAAGGAGAAATTCTGGAATTGGGAAGTACAATACCTGCAATGAAAAATTCACTAGGCGGTTCAACAGCAGATTTGACTAGGCAGAACAAGATCAATAAACTTGAAATAGGTACGTTGAGATTAACCCAAGGAACAGAAATACCAGTGAACAATGAACAAAGCTTCAGAGACCTGTAGGGTACCATCACGTGTACCAATATACACATTAAAAAGAGGAACAGGGGGAAAAAGAAGGAATGGGCTGGGCATGGCGGCACAGGCCTGTAATTCCAGCACTTGGGGGTGGGGGGAGGCAGGAGAATCACTGCGAGTTCAAGGCTAGCCTCAACTACACGGTGAGACCTTGTCTCATGAAACAGAGAGACAGAGACAGACACAAAGAGAGAGAAAAGATTAACCACTGACTCCTCATCAGAAGCTAGGAGGAAACAGTGGGCCCATTCAAAGTGCTAAAAGAAAAAGGGTGTCAATAAATAATCACCCCCACTGCTGAGGGTGGAGCCGAGGGCCTTTGGATTAAGTTACATCCCTGCCTCTTTCTCATTTCTTATTTTGAGGCAGGATCATCTCCCTAAGTCACTTAGTTGTCCAGGCTGGGCTTGAATTTGGGGATCCTCCTGTCTCAGCCACTATGCCTGGCTAGTAATTCTATATTTGGACCATGAACCCAGGGGCATGATCTTTCAAAAACGAAGGAAATATGAAGACATTCAGGAGAAAAGCTGAGAGAGTTCACCTATAGCTGATACGTCCTATGTGAAATGCTGAAAGGAAAGGTCATTAGACAGTAACTTGAATCCACATGATGAAATAAAGAGCACTAATGTAACTATATAGGCAAATATAAAGGACAACAGGCAGGTGTGGTAGCAGATGTCAGCACTCTGGGAGGCTGAGACAGGAGGGCTGCAAGCTCAGGCTCAGCCTGGACAGCTTCGTGACGGAGCAAAACCTAGTCTCAGATTAAAAGATAGAAAGAGCTGGACGTAGGCCCTGGGTTCAACCCCCCAGTACTGCAAAAACAAAACAAAAACCTAAATAACAAATATATTTCCTGGGTTATAACTCTTCTGTCCCTGATTTAAAAGACAACTTTATAAAGCAATAATTATAAATCTATGATGAACAAATAATGTATGAATATTTAATTTGTAACAGCATAAAGAATGAAAAGAGCTATATAAACACAAACTTTTTATACAATTGATGTAAATCAGTATTAATCTGATCTAGATTGTTGTAAACGAAAGTGTAAATGGCAATCCCTAGGGCACCACACACAGAAAAAGTAAAAGTAATTGCAGTAAAAAAACCAGTAAAAAAAATTGCATAGATTAAAATGGCACAGCTAAGATGAACTAAAAGACAGGGATGGAGGAAGTAAAGGAAAACAAAAAAAGATATAAGAACCATATAGCAAAATGACAGAGGTAAATCCTACCTTATCAGTACTTCCATTTAATAAGAGACTGACAGGGTGTATTTAACAGGCTCTCTCTCTCTCTCTCTCTCTCTCTCTCTCTCTCTTCCTCCACCCCCTCCACACACTGCAAATATATGCTTTACCCAAAAGACACACTTTTAGCTGGGCATAGTGGCGCACACCTGTAATCCCAGCACTCAGGAGGCTGAGGCAGGAGGATCGTTGCTAGTTCGAGGCCAGTCTGGGCTACAAAATGAGCTCAAGTCCAGCCTGAACTGCATAGCAAAACCCTGTCTCAAAAAGACAAACAAACAAACAAACAAACAAAAAAACCAAAAGACACACTTTAGACTCAAAGACATATAAATAGGTTGAAACCTACAAGGATGGAAGAGACACCATGCAATAGTAACCAGGGAAAAATATTAGGCTACATTTCTACCAGAAAAAGACAAAGACAGAAATGGTTATTAGAGACAAAAGAGATTTTATGGTGTTAAAAGGGTGACTCCATCAAAATATATGAAAAATATAAACTTGCTTGCTCCTAACAAAGGAACTCAAAGGTATATTAGGCAAAACTTGGAAGAATTGAAGACAGAAATAGACAATTCACCAACAATTCTTATGGAACAGAATAAAGAGCTAAGAAGGAAACCCATGCATGTACAAATAACTGATTTGTTTCCCATTACTGAGGTCTGGACCTGCAGCCTTTACACTGAGTTATATCCCTAGCGCACCGCCCCATGCACCTTTTTTTAGGTTTTGAGACAAGGTCTCACTATATAGTTCAGGCTGGCCTTTAACTCACTATGCAGCCTAGGCTGGCCTCAAACTCAAGGCGACCCTCCTGCCTCAGCCTCTTGAGTACCAGGATGCCACCAGGCCCAACAGAGTTTTGTGAAAGTGCTAAAAAACACATAATTTG